TTTTTTTTTTTTTTTTTTTTTTTTTTTTTTTTTTTTTTGCATTATTTGATTAATTGCGGTTTGAAAAATTAGCGCGGTTCTTTGTTAGTCTCGATATTGAATCTCTTTTATTATTATTTTCGCGTACAGGGTCAAGGGTTCCACATTGTTTATTTATCTTGGCGAACAAATTGAATATACCGAAGCGACTGTTGCAAAGTATACCGGTCAACTATTGTCAGCATTACACTGGTTACACTCACGTAAACGAGCTCATTTAGACTTAAAACCAGAAAACGTTCTAATTGATGAGAAAACTGGTGTTGTAAAACTAATAGATCTTGGTGAAGCTGTCAGAGCGGTACCACTTGATGAAGTTGTTCCTCCAGTTGATTTGGAATTTGCAGCTCCAGAATCGGTTCTTGGTAAACCAACAGGATCCTATACGGACATGTGGGCTGCTGGTGTTTTTCTTTATGTATTATTAAGGTAAATGCACAATTAATCTATAAAACTTTTATACATAATGCAAAAACACGAATTTTTATCGATTAACATTATGAAATTTTTCATTTGTACAGCGGACTTTCTCCCTTTTTGGATGATTCCATTGAAGAAACTACCGCGAACATACTAAAATGCGATTTTTGTTTTCCTGATGAATATTTTAAAGATATATCATCTGATGTAAAAAATCTTCTTGAAACATTGTTATGTTTACGTGGAGAAGACAGAGCAACCGCTCAATTAATTCTATCTTCACCTTGGTTTAAGGTAACCAATTATTAAATGTTAATTATATTATTATTGATTTATATTATAATTATATTACATTTATAACAATGGAATTAGCTTTGCCAACCAGTTATATGAACTGACAAAGAAAGAAATGATCGATTACAGAAGTATAGAAAAGATTGTATTTTACAGTCTCAGTTAAATTATATTCAAGATAATTTATAAAATTAAAATTTCATCACCAATTTAGAATTAAGATTATATTGATTTAAATATTATGCTTGTACAATTATTGATATTTTATTTTAAGAATTTTTGATTTCAAATTATAAGAATCAGTTTTGTCTTGTATTGATGATCTATTATATAAGCAGCAATGCTAATTTAATAACTAATTAAGCAACATTCAAACTAATCTAATACAAATCTTTCTGATAATCTTACCAAGAATTAAATCATTGATTTTTGTTTCAGATATCAATTGGTGCAACGATTCCTTCTTCTCGAATGGTTGCATTCATTGACCGTCGTGCTCACCGCTCAAAACATCACCAGGATCGAAATAGCAGTTTTTATTCTTAAATTACTATACTATAGTTCAAAAAAGACATATTTATTGATGAATAATTTTAAAAGCTACCGGCTAAACTTAGCCGATTGTAAATAATAAACAACAATTACGATTCACCGTTGCATTCGCGCGCGTTACTGATATTCTTACTGTCGCGCTCATACACGCTCTATGTTATTTACATATATACGTATATATTAAACAGAACTTACACATATACACACACGCGCGTGCAAATTTTTAAATGAAATGAAATGAAATGAAAGAAACACATTTACGTTACAATACATTACAAACGTGCTGTATGTCATGACATTTCGTATAGAAATCTATTTCTATCGATGCATTTATTCTTTATACAATTCATATCATTATCGTGAATGTGACGCACTGTCTCATAACAGATTTTTACCCTCAGATTTTTGTACTTTTTTTACGTAATTTACTCAATATTACAGATAAATTAAAAAAAAAATGATCGAATTGCTCGATTACTTTAAATATGTTTCGATTAAAATATATTTCTTGTTTCATATAATAATAAAAAATAAGATTGAAGGTTCTACAAAATACAAACGCACACAATGTGCAATATTTTAATAAAATGATTAACTTTGATATCCTTTAATTGTATCTAATATGATCGGAAAATTTTTTTTTTTTTTTTTTAACTGATAATGAATCAATATAATAGATTAAATCTATCACTGACGCGATATTATGTAATAAAGAAAAATTCATTTTATCATGGTGATATTCTTAATCGTTTGCAATGATCAAGTACATGTTGTTCATATTCGTCTAATGAAGAAAACGATTTGTTGTCGCAAAGAAGACACGTAGCATCCTTTCTATTCATCGAATGACGACGCATTCGATGGATACTAAGTTCCACTGTGTTATGCATTTGCTCGTTACAATCCGGACACATCACTATCGACTCTTCATCAATCAGTCCTTGCGTTTCCTCAACTATATTAATTTCACATATATCACTTGAATTAATTGTGCTCTTTTCATCTGGATTCGATTCTGAAATTTCATTTGTATTTTTTGAAGTTGAAATGGAACAATATTCAGATTCTGATTCGAGTTTTATTACGGGCTTTGAAGATGATACTAATGTATTATCAGTACTTTGCAAATTATCAAGATTCATGTGCGATGATACAATCGAACTTTCTGGATGATTTTCCATATGTTCAATTAACTCTTCTTTAGAGATAAATGTTATTCCACACGAATCGCAAGAATAATGTAGTATATCGTGTTGCTGACATTTCTTAATGTGTTCCCTTAAAATCTTTTTTTCGAGAAATACTTCGTGGCAATATTCGCAATGATATTTTCGATCTCCGTGGCGTAAACTACGATGTTTTGTTAATAACGATTCACTTTCATAACAAGTTAGACAATCTATACACATATGTTCGGATAATTGAGAATGATCGGTTAATAAATGTGTTTGTAGCTGACGTCTAAGTTTAAATGATTCGTCGCAAAATTCACAACGTATTCGTTGAACTTCTTTCTCTATGATTAATTTTGTCACATTAGGTTGCACCTCTAATTCTTCCTCTACCTTTACCTTAACTTCAATTTCTGCTTCTGTGTTTCTTTCTTCTTTTATTGTCTCTGATGTCACTTCTACTTGTAACATTATTTCTGGTTGAATTATTTGTTCCTCTGTTTTTTCCTTTTGTATATTTTCTTCTAATTTTGATTCTGTTTCTTGTCTAGAAACAACTTGATACCTTTGATCACTCATCACTTTTAATACATCTGACCAATCTAATTCTTCATCACTATGACATGTATCAGTAAGTAATGAAAATACTGTATTACCTTGTCTTTCTTCATCATGAGTCACATTTTGAGATTCATTTTTTAATATTGTTTCATTTACTCTGGTTTCATTTACGGTATTATTGTTTAGATTAGGACTTGGAACTGAAAGCGGTAAGTGAACAGTTCTTGGCCTTCCTCTAGATCTTGTAGGATATCCTCTAGTACGTGGTCTACCTCGACCTCGTCTAAAAATACCACGAGTAACTTTTGGAGCATGATCTTGAATCTGTTGTTGTTGTTCTTCTTCTTTTTCTCTTTCTTTTTCTTTCTCTTTTTCTTTTTCCTTCTGTTCATTTCTCATATGTTCACCAATTGAATAAAGAGGTTTTCTAGGTGCATTGCTGGATCGTGAATTTGGAAACACATGACGCAATGTATTGTCTGCTACATAAATCTGTTGAAAAAACTTAAAAGACTGTTCCAATTTGTCAACACATTCATCGCACATCTTTGTTGGTAAAGCATCTTCGTCGTCAATTTCTATTAAAAGTTTCAATTTTGATAGAAGGCTCATATCTGTGCCTTTTCCCTTGGTCATCATACTTACAAGATTTTGTTTCTTGGTCGCACATGTTCTACACCACTGATCCACTTCAAATTCAGATGGAACATTTTTTTCTGTAACTTGATCTGTTGCTACTTCCTCCATAGAACCTTCTTGACCGTTTAAATGAATTTTCTGAAATTTAATGAAAAAAAATATAATGATATAAAATTATTGAATGAACAATTTTTTTGAATTATTTATATTCATTTATGTTAATTTAGATTCTATTTTACATTTCAATATTTCACTTTAGAGAATTATATAATGTAATAATTTCAAATATTTTACGTTTATATTACGGAATGCTTTAAAGATAAGAATCAGAAATAAATAGACAGTATAAAAAATATTTACCCGTCGTATTTTCAAATTCCTCAATTTTCTTGAAACAGCACTCCAATGTGGAGAAGGGACTGCATTTTCTTTTAGGGTACCTTTACTCAGATAGCAATCTTCCGTAAAGTGATTATTGCAAACGAAAAATTTCATAGACCGTAAAGCATCCAGATCACTTCCAATTAGATCCACGTGACCACTGTTGATCAACCACCTCACACAGAGACCGGTATCACAAACGGGAAGTTCATGAAGTATTTGCTCCTTTTCCCGTGTGTCGACACAATCGATGTACCTGCATTTGGTTACTTCCTCCATTACTCAATAATCTTAATCTTATAGAATTCACAATGTAATAAAAAAAGAGATTAAATAGCTTTTAGATTCCAAAGAAGTTTTATCTTTTACTTAAAAAAAGAAGTTGGAAAGATGTGTATATTTAAGACAGGTTAGGCATAATTAAGGCGCGAAAAGCAAAGCTACTGAACGTGCCTGCCATCTCTTGATACTTATTAATACCAGTGTATATACTTATGTCAGATTTATCTTTTTTCATCTATATAGATGATAATATATACATAAAGCGAAATAAAGTGCATTATACATAAAATAAATATTAATTGTGATTGTAAAAAATTGAATAATTGAAATTCCAGTATTGAGGTAAAAATTAAATTCTTTAGAATTATTTTGGAATAAAATATTAGAAAAGAAATGCTACGTTAATTAAATAAATTAATAAATTTTGTAATTGTTAATACTTAATAAGTGAGTATGGATAATAAGAACAAATATATATTTAATAAGTATAAATATATTCATAATTTGAATTCCATAGATAAAAATTAGATTCGTAAAAAGTAAGAGCGCTATCATCGCAATAGTGATTAAATTGTAGGAGCTGAACGGAAGGAGTCGCGCAAAACAACACGGAACGTTACGAGACGTGGTTTAGTGTTATTTCGTTGGGAACATTATTTTTTTGAATTTTTGTCGTTTTAGAAATGTAAATAAAGCATAATTAATAATATTAATTTGAAAAGTATTTTAATTGAACAGAGATTGATTAAAAGAAAAAAAAGTGAGGTTAATAACCTTAATTTCAAATTTTTAATAATATATTAAATAGATTCAAATTAAATTAGCTTACTATTAGGTGTGGGATATAAATTAAACAAAATGTCTGAAAATGTTGAGGAAGTTATCGAAGAAGAAAATTCAGTTACAATGTTAGATGTACTTCGAGAAGAGAATCAATTAGAAGAAGATGCGTATGCGGTTTTGGGTGCATCTGATGACAAAAATTGTACTTATAGCAAGGTATACTACTTATGATATAAATACTAATTTTATGAATATGAATTTGAAATTTAGCTTCAAGTAAATCATTTGATTTTTTTAGGGTTATACACGACAAGCTCTTTATGCATGCAAAACTTGTTGTCAGAAATCAATGCGAGCAGCAATATGTCTTGCTTGTAGTTTTCATTGTCACGAAGGTCATGAACTTATTGAATTATATACTAAAAGACATTTTAGATGTGATTGTGGCAATTCAAAGTTTGGGGAGAAAAAGTGTAATCTAGATGCTGTATGTTTGTTATTGATTTTTATATTTTTATTTTATTTTATTTTTTTTTTTTTATGATATTTCGTATTTAATTATTTTTAAGAAATCTTTTGTTTGTAGTCAAAGGATTCAATAAATTCTGAAAATCAATATAACCATAACTTTGATGGTCTTTATTGTATTTGTGAAAGACCATATCCAGATCCAGATGATACTGTCAATGATGAAATGTTACAATGTATAATCTGTGAGGACTGGTATCATTCAAAGGTAATATATTAATATATTTATTGAGACATTTTTAAATTAATTGTAATTAATATTGCTAGCACTTAGAATGCGAAAAGGAAATGCCAGCAGATGCTGCATATGATGAAATGATTTGTGCTGGTTGTATGAGACAGAATGATTTTCTTTGGAATTATGCCAAAAAATATACAGGTACTTTGAAATTGGTTTGATTGTTTTGACTATCATTATCACTATTATCATTATTATTTTAAAACTTATATATATAATAGTTTGATATAATATACATGATAATATTTTCTATAGTGACAGATGGTTCTAATGGGGATAAAGAAGATGATGAATCAATCAATGTTGAAAATCAATTGAAAGAATGTACAATGCCAAGGAATAATACTGCAAAAAGAATACCATCACAAGGAAGTTGTTTTTGGATAGAAGGATGGAGAGCCGCTCTATGTACTTGTAAAACATGCAAAGAAGTAATGCTTTCATTTATTCAAATAAAAATTCTTAATTCTCTACATTTATAAATCTAAAATTTTTGTAATTATAGCTTTACCGAGAGAAAAATATTGCGTTTCTTCTTGATCCAACGGATAGCGTACATGCTTACGAGGAAGCTGGTAAAATTAATAGCCGAGAATCACAATATGAAAAGGGTATGAAAGCCCTTGCTTCTTTAGGTCATGTCGAACAAATGACGGCTATCGAAGGTAATTTATTAAAAATTTATTTGATTAAAAATTGTTTAAGTGATATAATTATTTCGTTTATTTCATGATGGATACATATATTGGCAGAATACAATAATATGAAGGAACGATTGAAACGATATTTGCAAAAATTTGCTGAAAATAAAAAAGTCGTACGAGAAGAAGATATAAAGGAATTTTTCTCAGAAATGGAATCGAAGAAACGACCAAAAGTTGTGATACCTACATATTGCCGTTGAAATGTATTAATTGAATATTATGGAAATTTTTCGTTTCTAATAGAAACAAAAAGTCGATGTATTGCAAACACTATTACAAGTAATATGTTCTACTTTTATATATTTCGTTTATTGCAAAGCTTAGTTGCGTGATACTAAATTATTTTGGATGTAATTCTATATTGAAGTTTAAATGTAACTTCCAATAAATCATAACCTTTTTTCGATATGAAAAAACAAAAAAGAAAAAGGAAAATGGAAGGCAAAAAAAAAGCATTTAATTATTTTTAAGAAACCTTGATTTTGATTTATCTTTAACGTTCGATGATATAATTCAATTCTTGATCATATTTAAATTACGGATAAAAACAATTTGTTAAGATATATAAAATACGAAGAAAAAATATCGAGAATATTGTAAATACAATATAACTAATAAGATTCAATAACAGAAATATTATACATATTTCTAAAAAAATTTTAATGTGCTATAACAACGAAAAACAAAAAGAATAAAAGGAACAAGTAAGTAACAATTCAATATCTTGCGATGAAATAGTCAATAAAATTTTCGAAGAGCGAACTATTTAATTTGTTCAACGAATTTTCATTACATTGCAGAAACTGTTGATTCATCATGCAATTGTAATGGTATCACCAAAACCGGCTGCGTAGGATTTGGTTTGTCCGTATAGATAGACCAGGTTTTTTTTATACAGTCAAAGATACCTATATTTGTATAAATATTTGATCGATACTTTTTATGATAATGATAATTTAGTCGCATAAAAGAAGAAAAAAAACAAATAAATCAAAAAACCTACCGGTTGCTATGGTTTTCACACGACCGTCTTGATAAACTTTGTGTTCATCATCCGTTTGATCGCTTAGAATATTTATAACATCTTGGTATGATTTAGCAGGAGAGTATTTACAAATAACAGCTTCTCTTTTGATACTACTATCGATAATAAGACCTTTTACTTCTGGTATTTTCAATCGAAGATATCTATAAAGAAAAAAAAATTAAAATTATCCGAAAATAACTCTAAAAAAATGATTAAGAAGGATATTGAAAAAAAAATAAAATTACTTGTTACAGTGAAATGTATTCTCTCCAGGACTAACAGTTAAAATACTCAATTGTGATTGCGTATCATTAATGTTGCAAGGACCAACCTCAGCATTATGGAACATTCTATCCCCTTCTTGCATTAAAAAAGTCATATTTACTGAAAATCCTTCTGCTGCACCAAAACCTTCATTTCTTAAAATCTGTTGAGCTTGCACATAATTTTCCGCAGTCAATAGCGCTCGAGTTATGAAGTACCTGGCTATTTGGTATAATTTATGATTTTTAAAATGAAAAATTACTTAAAATAATTTAAAATAAGAAATTATAATACAATTTTAATTTAATTTAAATTAAAAGAAAGAAAATGATATAATATAATATAATATAATAGATGAAAATTAATAATTAAAAAATCTTTCTTTCTAAAGGTACATATATATATATACGATTAAAAATTACAAAAAAGTATGAAATGATTTCTCATATAAAGATAAAAAAAATAATAATAAAATAATATTTTCACGTTCGAGATTTTTTGAAAAAAATTGAATTAGAAAATCCATATGCATGTATGTATGTTATTTGCATATTGCATGATATATATCTACTATTTGTTTATAATGCAATGTGTATTTATATATAATTAAAAATTCAAGGAAGTACAAAAAAAAATATTTTATGCTTATAAAATTATATGTATAAAATAATAATTCATGTAGATGATTAAAAGAAATATTTAAATTATTTAAAATGTCAAGAATAAAAAAAAATAAAAATATTATGAGTGCTATAAATGTAAATAAAATATACTTACGTGTTTTACCAGATCTTAAGGTAGCAGCACTAAGTGTATTGATACTATAAACGAGACCATGATGATTGTAACCCATCGTATATCCTGGTAAAAATCCAGCATAACTCAAAGATGTAAATTTCTCTTCTTTATTATCTGGTTCAATTACATGCGCAGAAACCAAATACCAATGATTTAACGTCTCGCTAAGTGCATCTTCATTATGTCCTAAAATTTCCTGTTGCGAGACATCAATAAAAAAAAGTAATATAAAGCAAATAATATGAAATTAATATTAAGGTTTAATAGATCTATCATTGATAATTGCATTCCATCGCAGAAATAATGTTTCTTCTTATCACTCACTTGTCCTGGTTGATTGCACATAATAGTTGAACAACCAATCGGTAATGTATTCTCTTGTCCTTCGTTAGCCACATTTGGCAAGATATCATCTAAATGCATGAGAAATAACTGTAAGAAAAAAAATCATTTGATCAAGTTTTATCGTTCATTAATTCATTTCTTTTGTTCGAATAAACTTAGTTTATAATTGATTTTTTTTAAGAAAAAAAAAAAAGTATAACAGATATTAATTATAAATTCATTTGTATACAAGGCTAAGAAAAAGATATGCGGGAAACAGTTGCGCGCGCATGTTTGCGCGTGTTTACGCGCGAAAGAAAACTTTTCAAAAAGTGACAATAGTTGCGTACCTTATAAAAAGGAACGTTCGCACCGGCTGCTGTTCCTCGAATTTCTTTCAAATATCCAGGAAATTGTTGTTCTACACAGGCAAGAGTCTCATCATAAATTTTTCTACCCACTTCTGTTTCGTAAAGTGATAAATAACTTTTAAGTGGTTCATATATATTGATGAAATTCTGAATTAAACCGGAAAATGTTTGACCCTATATAAAGAATATTTTGTAAGAAAAATATAAAAATATAGGTTTTAGAATCGAATGAAATCAAACTTTTCAATATGATGGACTTTTTAATATGATAACTATTCAAACTATTGATTTTTTTTTCTCTCTATTTCTCATATTCTTTCGATCCAAAGAACTTGAGAATATCGTATTTCACATTTAATACGCGAGCATTATTGTAAAATCTGTACATATATTATTTTTTTGAACAGCAAACTTCTCAAGTTGCATAATATTATGTAACTCAATGTTATGCAACACACTCAATCTCTTGGAATCACAGGTGTGAGAAAGATTCAAATCTTATGTGTGTAATTTATTGGTATAAATAAAACATCAATAACTAAATAGTTGAATAATATTGAAATAAATATGTAAAGAAAAGTAAAAAAAAAAAATTTTTTTTTAGATTAGATTCGATTAATTATAATATCTTGCATATCTGTTCAATTATTAATACTGATAAAAATTATATTCATAAAATTTGAACAGAAATTTATATAATTCAATAATTATTTATATATAATAATGATACATAAAGTGGTACAATCGAATAAAAAATGAATGTGAAAAAATAAGTTCAAAATAGAATAAAATTTTTTCATTTTTGTTTTTGAAGTTTTGTTTCCGAGTAAAATAAGTTTGAATAATTTTCAAGTACAACTAAAATTAGCTATTTTCTGATAAGTAAAATTTTTTACAATACAAATGAAATATCGATCAACATAAACATTTACATATGAACATAAACAAAAAATACAAAATAAAATTTTATAGCTTAAATCCTAGTTTTTAAAAAAATCAGATTGGACGTATTCAATCAAAAATATAATTGATAAATTTCTAAATTCAATTTTTTTTGGAAAATTAATTTTTAAATGAAGAAAATTTATTTTATATTTTTTGCTTACTTTTATATGTAGAATAACCGGTTATCGATAATTTATTCATAATATATCATATAATAATATTAATAGTCTAGTCGTACTTGAAAAATTTTTCAATTTTTTTCTTAAATTTTATTTTATTTTTTCACCTACTATACTTCTTATACGTTTGTACCACCAATTGCACAATACCCTATATATAATATACAATGATATGATACATAGGTATGTTTGGTATGTCAATTAAAAATCGATCGAAAAATTAAATAAAAAATTAAATAAACATAACCTCTAAAGATAATGAGATTAATTCAAAATTTTTCCATTTTATTTTTCAAATATAATCAAATGATACCATGATCATTGCAATAATAATTTATATCTATAACTTATGTAACTATTCACGATTCCGTTTCTTAAGTTTTTTTTTTTTTTCGTTTCCATTTTTCTTGTTTTTTTTTTTTTTTTCTTTTCCTTTTTTCTTGTTTTTTTTTTTTTTTTCTTTTCCTTTTTTCTTGTTTTTTTTTTTTTTTTTTTTTCTTGTTAAAGTTTCCATAACATAAAATCGCGCAAGACTATAATATGAGCGTCGAATAGATATATCGCGATATAGCGAATCGAAAAAAAAAAAAACAATCGAATTCTTACAATATCAAAACCAATGTCGTAATGAGTTCCTCTAGTGTGTATGATACGGACTGCTTGCCTTCTTCCAATATCCTCTTCTGCCTGGTTTAACATCGTTTGATCGGATGTTGTCATTTCTAAATAACGAAATGGTTAATGTGTTACAATTAATGTTTCATGTTTTACCATGCATTCTCGAGAATGTTATCTTTTTAGGATAACTCATTTCCTTCCTCACTCCCCATTTCAATATACTTTCCTCTATCAATTTTTTAATTGATATTATTAAAATTCGATATCATTAATTTTCCATTCCGATCTTTTCTTTCTTTTAATTTTCTTTCTTTGAATCTGATTTGTCTATTTATTCTTTATATCTATATCCTAGTTTCTTATCAAAGACAATTTATTTGTTCGTTTGATTATGAAATAATCGTGCTAAATACTGTATTAAATCCAAGTAATTTCGCATAAGTTAATATCTGAATGGTATTATTTCAATGATAAAATTCTCTTCTCCTTAAATATTCTTTAGGGGTTAAAATATTCTTTTAATATATTATTTTAGCATTTAAAAATATACACAATGATAAAAACTATTTTTCTTGTTTTTTTTTAAATATCTTTAGATTTTGAATTCTTATAATCTAATTAATATTTTAATGTTAGTATAATTAAGAAAAATACAAAATTGTTGAAGAATTTTAATTAAGAAGGATAGAATTATATTCCATTATATTTTTATTATTGTTTTTTATTATTTGAACGAACGAAGGATCGAGGCAAATGTAAAATAAGGTAAACACTGAGAAACATTAAACAAATGAGGGAAATTCAAATAACCTATCGTATAAAATTATAATGTAATAAAAATAGTAATTGAAAATCTTCAAGCGAAAAAAAAAATATAAAAATAATTGTACGAAAATATATTTATTTATTATTATTAAATGTTAAACTCAAATGTTAAACTGTATATTCGAATATTACAACTCCATAAAACAAAATTAATAACTGTATTACATTCGTTATCACTTTCTTTCTTAGACTTACCCAAATGATTAAGCACGTATGAAAACAATACGGTAAAGAAAAAATGCAAAAATTCGCTTGGATGAAAATCAGAGTGAAACAACACCGTGGAATAAAAATAAAATAAAACGAACGTAGCTAGCGTCGTTCTGATGATGATTGTCGCGCGAGAGACTGACACTTCACGATTGGCTTCCGTTCGCTACGAAGACCGTCTAAGTCTAATCTACCTTTTATCGACTTACATCAATTAGCAGTAGTTTTACGGTATAGATAGCCAAAGTTACCTCCAGGGGAAAAAGAATTCGTCGACATTTTAAAAAAAAATCGCATTGTGCTCCCTACCCTTCGCTTACTTGCAATCTTGTCACACGGACTTCTTGTCTTTCCGATCTGATCTTTGATATTATATATCGCGATCGAATAGAATGAAAGAAGTAGTTATGCGTTTTTATACACGTGACAATGGTATATTGTAATATTATGAGAAAATAATTCTTTTCTCTTTTTTTATTTAATAAGAATATCCGATGTACATATAAATATACATATATATATTATATGTATATGTATATGTATTATCGTAATAATTAGTAATAATTCTGATTTAGATTAGAAGGTAAATTATCAAATTTTTCGGATTTCCGATATACGAATAAAAGATAGCATTGTTGATTGGCGAGTAAAAAAAAAAAAATCAGTGAATTCTTTCAAAGAGTTTGAAAAATAAAGTTATAAGATAAGAACGAAAATATTTAAAAAGAAAAAAAAAGAAGACAATTTTGTTGTTACAAATAGGCAAAGAGAAAAAATAAATATATAAATAAATGGAAAGATATAATAGTGGATTAAAATAAATATATCTATGGTAAAATTTAATTACAAAAAGTAATCATCACAATACAATTATATACTAATTGTAAGGCATAGATAAGAAATCTTATACATAATATGTATTCATAGTCAGCCTTTTGTTTGGCTTCCAAATATGCATTTGATGGCTATAAATGGTTGAGAAAGGAAGGTTGAAAATCTTTTATGGTTTCCTTTAAAATCTGCAAAACTTTATTCTTGTACATACTGATTTACTGTTTACATCACATCATATTATTATAAGTCATTAAATTTTTCTTTCTTATATTGAGCTATATATATATTAGTAATAAAAAAAATATTTAATCTTATAAAAAAAAATATCAATAAAATTTTTTTATCTCTCATAAAAAAATATTTTCATTTGACATTTTTTCCTATCATAAAAAATAAAAAAGATTTAAGATATCATAAATCCAAGTATATTATATTAAAACAAAATAAGAAAAACATTTTTAATTACTTTATTAGTTAATCAGTTAAGAAATCTTGCATTTAAGAATTCATAATTAATCTAGCTTTTAAGTAAGTATTTAACATTATATAAATGATTAGATATTAGTAAAATTTTAAAATTCTAATATATAGATATATAAAATATATATATATAATATATATTATAGAATATATATATATATATATAGGTA